ATCGGCGATGGTGAAGCTTTCTGGCCATACTATGAAGATTTTGTTGAGTACCTCCAGGGAATCCGTCGCAGTGGCGGAGCCAGACATTTAGGGTTAAAGGGGCCGGTCCTTAACAATTTTACATTATTGCAGGGGCCAAATGTAAAATATCAACATACTTTCAACAGATTAAAAATATTTATACATAATATATACTTAAGAATTTTTTTTCTTGCAGGGGCCGTGGCCACCTCCAGCCCCTCCCTGTCTCCACCCCTGATCCGTCGGCTAGATGCAAATTCACTGTAGCAGGCTCCGAGGCTATGAAGATTTCTGTCCGCTTGTCTATTCTCTAACCCTTTTTAATTCAATATTTAATTTGGGGTATTTTTGTATTTTAACAATTTATTACACCAAAAATCACTTATTTTATCAAACACTTCAATTCTCACATTTTAATTAAAATCACTTTCATTTTCATAAATAGGCTTTTAACATGTAAAACACAAAATTTCACTTTTATAACAATAAGATGCACTTTTATGTTCAAATAGTGCACGTTTACAAACTTGTAAACCGTTCCACTTATTTACAAAAAACAACACCACAATTCATCTCAAAAAATGCACCATATCAGTATTAGATCAACATTTGTATTGATAGACTATTTAATTCTAGAGAGAAGGGAGAGCTAGAGAGATAAAGTGATATGTGTATAATGAATTTCCAACTTCCAACCCTTTTACATGGCTCCTATAGGGAGTATTTATACAAGAAAAAAGGGCTGGGCTTCCAGGCTTGGGCCTGGCTGGCCCAGTTACAATAAAAGGCCAATAAATGGCTAATAAATGGTATTTAATCCATTCTGATGGATATACATGAATAAAATAGCGTGTACAACGAGATAAATGCTATCTACTGAGCGTATGTGGGCCGCTGTCTGGGCCCAATAGTCGTGAGACCCGGGGGTCCGAGTCCATATACTCTATCAGGTATTATATGCCATCCCGGAATATCATGGGTGGTCCCCGCCCCCGATGTGGGTCCCACGCGTTTATTACAGTACTGATAGAAGTTAAGACGGAAAAAATAAATCTACCACAACTTCCTATCAAGGTGCCACATCTAATTCACCCAATGCTATAGATGAACATTTCTGGGGATGGTTATACACCTACTCCCCAATGTGGGCCCCACGACTGGTTTAATAATCTTTTATTAATGTAAGACAAGAAATTTATTTTCCTCATTATTAATACTATTCTTAGTCTTGATTTACCTTCTTTAACTCCATACTAGATGAAAAAAATTATTTGGGTGAAATTCGGGTTCAGTGTTACATTTCAAATCCAGGTACAAATTTTTGAGATCAACCATCTACACATTCTTCACAAGAATTCAAACGAGAGATTGGAAGATTTATAACTCACATCTTACATCAAAATTTCAATACAAGTTCATTGTTGTTCTTCAACTTACTCCGAAAGCTACATCAACATATCTTGTACAGACTTTGGAGGAAAATCTTTGTTATCTTTACAAAGGATTACATCTTGAAAAAGAAGGGGTCCAAGCTAACTGGAGTGAAACGGTGTTACTTCAAGAAGCTCGGTGAAATGGTCAATCATCAGGAAGCAAGGTTGCTCTCGAGTGACAAAGGTGATTACACTTGATGAAGATGAAGAGAACTTCTTAGGTGCTACTAAATATAGGCGTTGTAACAATTTTAAAAGTGCTTAGTGTAACAATGGACTAGAGGAACACATTGTTATTTGAGCCACTATAAAATTCTTGGTGTCGTTCAATTACTCTGTTTACTTTCTTGTACTCACGCAAATTTGTTTTCTCAATGAGTGTGGATTCTGTGCTCTAGCAGATTTTGCTCTAGAGAAATAGAAGGCAAATACGCCTTAGTGTTTCTCCACGCTACCCGTCTAGACATACATATTCCGCTGCAGGCCATTTCTGTCCAGATTTATTCCGGCCCTATGAGACGGATATATTCTATCTCAATAGGAAAGAGAATTTAAGAATAGTCTATTCGCCCTCCTTCTAGATTGTTTTTCTATTTAATTAACCGTGACCATAAAAAACCCTAAAAAAGCCAACAAAGCCCAAACATTTTTTTATTTTACCATTGAAGTATATGTGCAGGTGCAGACATACCTCTCAAATTCTAAAAGGTGCAATGATACCCCTAACGATCTTATAAAGAAGCAAATTAGCCCTTGGCGATTTTAAATAAATAAATAAATAAATAAATAACAATAAAAAAATAAAAATATATTGGATTCAAAAATGGAAATATTTACAATAAAAACTTAGGGCCTATTTACTAACAGAGATATTTTCTAGTTTTCCAGAAAACTGGAAAACAGAAAACAGGAAACGTGTTTACCAAAGAAATTGCTGGAAAAGTGGAGAAAGGAAAAAAGAAAAACGTGTTTACCAAATAGTTTTCCAAAACGGAAAAAATGAGACATGTCTCTCTTTTCCTTAATGATTTGGAGAAGTGACTTTTACTAGTTTTCCAAATTTGGAAAACGCAGATGCTACAGTGCCGCTGCATGAATTTGCATACTTACACCTAGTGGTGGGTCCGGTCCCGCTCCGATGTCAATTCCATTCCGGTACCTCCATCCTCATACCTTACCCCTTACCCCTACCCTACCTACCCTACCCTACCCACCCAACCCCGCGTACCCATTTTTCCCTATAATGACCCTACCCCACCCCCTACCACATGCCCTACCTCGGCCCCACCCCGATCCAGCCTACCCTACTGCCACCCCCCTACCACCTTGACCCCACCCCCGACCCACCCTACCCTCCCCACCCGTATATTACCCCTTACCCCTTACCACATGCCCCCTACCTCGGCCCCACCCCACCACCATGCTAACCCCACCCTCGTACCGCCATCCTACCCCCACCCTTCCGCCATCCTACCCGGATCCCGAGCCCACCCCTACCGCCATCCTATCCCAACTCCCTACCCTACCCCTACTTTACCCCAACCCTACCCACTACCCCCACCCTACCCCTTCCCTACCTCGGCCCCACCATGGTCCCGGCCCCACCCCACCGCCATCCTATCCCAACTCCCTACCCTACCCCTACCTTACCCCAACCCTACCCACTACCCCACCCTTACCCCTAACCACGACCCTAACCCACCCACAAAAAAAGAATAAAAAGAAAGATTTATTTTATGTTAGGCTAAAAAATTATTATTCTTTCCTTGTAAAGAAGCACTTCAAATGTATAAATATTAATTTTAGTCTTGTTGCCAATAAAATTGGTGTTGTTTGAAGTTATTTGGCGTTGTTTAAAATAAGCCAAAATTATTATTCCTTCCTTGAACACATTGTTACATTTTTTAAAATTAAATTATTTGGTGTTGTTTAAACTTAATAAAACAAAATGTAATGTTGGATTATTTATCATCATACAAAATGTGTTAAGTAAATTTTATAGATCAAACAATATTAAAAACTAATGATCTTTTCATTGTAACACATATGTTAACACGTTTTCGAAAGAATTATAAATATATAGTAAAGTTTTTTTCATAACAATATTATATTGTGATTATGCTAACAATGTTAAGCTGTGATATAAGGATAATAAGAGAGAACATTGGACACCAAATAGATGTTTTTTTAAAACAAAAAATGGAATTCATTATATAATTTTGATTTTCCAAATTCATTATATATATTTTTTGTATTTTTAAAATATAGTTTTTTAATTAAATTCAATAAATGAAAATTTTTCTCTTTATAGAAACAATAGGAGTATCCTTGTACCTTAAGGTTGTGACAAATGATAGTGGTGCAAGTTTTTATGAAAAGTAGAGTTTTGTGGTTGATAATGAATTGATAAAGTGAGAATAAAATAAGATTGAATTAGTGCCACATAAATATTATCAAATATGATATGAGACAAATGTAATGGGACATAAAAAAAAAAGAGACAATTATAATAGAAAGAATTGAAGGAGTATATGAATATGAATATGAACATAAAGCTAAAGGATATATTTGCACCTTTTTCTTTGTTTTATTTAGGAAAAAGTACAAATTTACTCTTGTAGTATGAGTGTGAGAATAAATATAGCACTGTTCTATTTTTTTTTTGGAACACACATACCCCTGAAGTTTAAAAATTTGCAAAATACACATCATGCTCCTATAAGGAGCAAATTTATCCTTATGGAATTTAAATAAATAAAATACATTTTAAAAAAACTAAAAATAAATTATAATTCAAACTTGAAAAATAGAAAAAATAAAGAGTTAAAAACAAAGAATTATTTTTATGTTAAAATATTAACTCTTTAATTTTAAACTGCAAAATTATTATTATTTAGTTGAAAATGAAACACTTTAAATTCATAAATATTAATATTAATTCTAGACTTGTTGTGAAATTTTGAACACTTTGTTTCATTTTCTGAAATAACATTCTTTGATTTTGTTTAATCTTAATTAAATTAAAATCACTATTTTGTAATATTGGACTATTTATCATTATACAAAATATGTATATTCATATTTTTTAGTGTCAAGAATACAAAGCAAATGTTAACGCTTTTCCTAAAGATTTCAGTAAAGTTTTGTAATAATCAAATGAACCGAGTATCTGAGAGCATCTTCAATGCTAAAACGTTAACGGTGCATACGTGGCATGAGAAATAACCAATTAAAAAACAATAAATATAATATCTCTCTCCTTATTTGAAGGACCTTACATCATTTTGGTAAGTTTTTCTTCACAATGTCAAGCACAATGTCTAGATGTAGACATTGTGATTGACATTGCAGACAAAAATTTATCTTAAACACATAAGACCCTGAAAAGGAGAGAGATATTGTATGCACCTTTAACATTTTAGCTTTGAAATACACATATGGTACGACTAATCATTTGCTGTGCCTATGGTACGACTAATCAATTTTGCTTTGAAGGAAAAATGCAAAACACATATCGAACCTGGTCATGCTTTCCATCCAGATACATAGACATCCATAAAAAAGGAAAGGAAACAAACAGACTGCAGTTGTATAAATACATTCTGCTCGTCCCAACTGCACCATCTCCAAATCCTACCCAATAGAGAGAGAGAGCCAAGAAAGTCTCCGGGCTCCCTCCCGCCTCCTGTCAGGTTAGGGTTTTCGAGTTCAAATCAAACCTATTTTAATTTTTAAGCAAGCATCGTCTTCGTCCAAGGAAAGAAACTCCTTTCGTGTTTTCCATCCAGAGACATTCTTCGCGATTGGTAAACTCCTCTCTTTATTTGTTTGTTTTCATCATGAATTTGGGTTGGGATTTAGTGAAATGGGGGTGGGTTGCTTGTTCTTATGCTTCATGCATATATTCCCATTGTAGCTGACAGGTTTGTGAAGAAGAAGCTTGGGATGGGGTTCTGGATATTCGGATACGGGTCATTGGTTTGGAATCCCGGGTTTGAATACGATGAGAAGAAGATTGGGTACATCAGGGATTACAGGCGGGTTTTCGATCTAGGTATGCTCTTCAACGATTGATTCATAGAACCAACCATCTCTGGTTTTCCACTTTGATCTGATTGTCGTGAATTCCGCATCTCAGCTTGCATTGATCACCGAGGTACGCCTCAAAACCCTGCTAGAACTTGCACCTTGGAGAAAAGTGAGGGAGCCATCTGTGTAAGTTCACTTCCTGCTTACATGCATACATACATTTTATTATCTTGTGTTGTGAAATGTCCGATCTTTGTACTTTGGTACTAGTGGGGTGCTGCCTATTGTGTTCGAGGAGGGGCAGAGAAGGAACAGAAGGCTATGGAGGTACACGTGCGTTTTTCTTTCTGCAAAACTGCCCAGTTTTACCACCAATAATAAGCTGCATACCTTCCCTCCTACAAAACTTTCGAGCGAGTGAATTAAAAAAGTGGGATAAAATGATGGATTTCTGAAGTCATACAATTATTTCAGTAAAATAAAAAGCAAGAGTAATTTATGAAGGTCAGGTAGGGTGGCTTGCCAGAAAAACAAAAAGTAACTTTCATTTTGATTTTGGGTCGGTGGGAGTAATTATTTTTCAGTAACTCTGGCATTCTCATCATCAAATTTTTACTTCATATCTAATGTATATTAATTATAATGTGTGCTTGTTATTTTTGCTGTAGTATTTGGAGCGAAGAGAATGTGAATATGATCACAAATCTTCAATGGACTTTTTCACGGTAATATACACGTAGTATATTTCAACAAATCTCGAGCTTGCCTCCTTAGTCAGCTACCTATTTTAACATATCATTGATTGATGTATTATAATATTCAACCTTGCTGGAACATCTCTACTTTTTTACACCCTATGTTCCACAAAGATTGTCCAATTTTTTTTTGTACGGGGTGTGTTGTTTTATTTTTCAACTTCTAGGTCTTTCCCTTCTCAATCAACAGCATCAAAATTAAATACTCCCTCTCTACTCTTGTGTAAGCTCCTTTTCATTTCAGCTCATCCCAAAATGTTTGTCCTCCCCTTGTATATGGAATAATCTTGTCCAGTCTTGTATTCCAATCTGGTCTCTAGTTTTATACATTTGTATACCAGTGCTGATTCAAACTGGTTTTGGTCCTACCTTTGATCGGTGTTCACTCCTGCCAATCACACAATCCCACCTTAATGAGATTGGGAAAGGGTGAAACTGAAACCTGTGTATAAAATCAATAGTTCTAACTAACTAAGCAATTATTTCTTTATAATAATGTTTGCGCAAAAGTTAGTAGTTGTGGGCAGGGGCAGATTCCGGAATCTGGATTGGGTTAGGCTGAAGAGTAATTGTATAAGGCTTAAATATTAATACAACGGTCTAAATATAAAAAACGAAAAAATTAAAACTAAGAAAATTGAAAGAAAAAAAAGTTGCCATGAGTTTTAGCCTATCATAGTCCACATGTAGATCCTCCCCTAATTATGAGCCCCTAATTGTGGGACAGAGGGAGGGATTAGGTATTGTATATTCTGTATTAGTATGGGAAGTTAATATTACTCCACTTGCAGTGGGGGGCAAGAATGCTGGGGATTATCTATAGCTATTTTTTGTTTTGTTTTGTTGTGATTGATTAATAAATTTAACCTTTGTTCAACTTCACCGTGTACGTACAAAATATTGGTTTTAAACTAAAGTATATGGATACACCAAACTTCTTCATGGAAGAAAATGCCAATATTTGTTGTTTTCAGAGTTTGCAATTAGGATTAGGATTAATCTTTTAATGGAGGGAATATATATTTGTGAGCGGTATATATATATATGTATATATATATTATTTGTTATTTATTATTAAATTTAATTACAGGAACAAGACCCTGTTTATCCTGCGGTAACTGGAGTTTTGGTGTAAGTGCTTCTCTTGGTCTTTTGACATAATCTTGGGTAGGGGGGTGCGTTTGAAGTGAAACCGAAATAGAACAATGTGAAAGTAAGGTATAAAAATTTAGTTCAGAAATGCAAGTGAAAACCGAACAAATCCGAAGTGCATGCCCACCCCCACCCCCTAACATTGAGAGGAAAAAGAAGAAGAGGTGGATTGAGGTGGTAAGAATGTGCAGGTTTATGTCCACCCCAGACAAAGTGAATAACAAGTACTACCTGGGACCTGCTCCGGTAGAAGTAATGGCAAAGTAAGCACCCTCACTACATGCACGCATGCATGCGTATACGGGGAGTAATGTTGCTGGCCCTATACGTTTGTTCGATTAAGCTTTTTGTATACTCGTTGTTCCATGGGACATTGCCCACTTTGATTTGAGTTTGGATTAAGAAAAAAAATTGTATGTTTGAGATTTTTTGCAGAAGAGTGAGAAATAAGGAGTATCACAAATTCATTATTTTAGAAGTACACTGGCAAAGTTTTTGGTACTAACAAAAAAGAAAAGGGACAGTCTAATGGGACAGAGTGAGTATTATATACTACTACGTATGATCTAATTTTATATATGTTGTGTGTGTGATCTGCATGCATGGTCGGCAGACAAATAGCTACTGCTTTTGGTCCTTGCGGGAACAACCGGGAGTATATTTTCAAAATGGAGAAAGCCTTGCATGATATTGGTACTTGACCCCTTCTGTGTTTTCTTTTTTGGGTTGAAATTTGAGCATAAGCACTGATTTTTTGCCCATCCCTCTCCTCTGGATGATGTATAGTGAAATTGTTTTTTACACATGACACTTTGGGGTCAAATCAAAATTTACTCAAATTAGAAGTGCATTCGTAAGCGCAGGGCATGAGGATAAGTACATAGTTGAACTTGCAAATGAAGTGAGGAAAGCCCTTGGGATGGTGGGAGTTTCAGGTCTGCTAAAGGAAAAGAAGATGTTAAGCATTGGCAGCGGCAGCAACATTCATCCGTCCCTCCAACTCAACAAGTCACTACACTTATCCCCCCTTCAAATCTGTCCCTTACCAGAAGCTGTTGTTCCCTCAGCTGTCGCCATTGCCACGGATACATGATGAGTTGCCGAAACCAAGTAACTTGAGAATGAGAGGCTCAATCCTTGAAACATTAATTGGTTCTTAGATTACTTTATTAACTCTGACTCTGGTTAATTACATGGAGAGGAGAGGATGAGAGCTAATTATATTTTATTAATTCTATACGCGTACCTACGGCTGGTCGAATATTTAATGCTTGTTGTTTTGTACTATCCGATTGATTCTCTAATGGGAAAGTTCATTTCATTGTTGTTTGTTCCAACTTCCATTGGCAATGGCAATATTATCTAGCCTCTGTTTGGACTTTGGAGGATAAATAACTTTTGACTTGGTTAGATGCAAACGCTTTTTTCTTGTAAAAGACGCCTGATTTCAATAATTTCTTGTAAAAGACGCCTGATTTCAACAATTTCTTGTAAAAGACGCCTGATTTCAATAATTTCTTGTAAAAGACGCCTAAGTAATGAGTAAATTTTATCCTTCAACCTCTCAATCAGATCTCTTGACAATTGTCATTCGGCAAATGTTCGTCCAGCAATACGGCAATATAGTCTGACCTTGAATGTCGCATTCTTCTATTAATAAAGCTTATGAATGGTTGTGGTGAATGGTTGTGGTTGTTCACATACCGGTTCACCACTCAAAAATTCTCAAAATATTGCATGTAAAAAATAATTCCCAAAATACTGCTAGATTATGAGTTTAATACAGAGTATATGGTTTATGTTGTGAGTTTTGTATGACATTCATTAATACTCTTTCCGTCCCGCTAAGATTGTCTCATACTAAATTTGGTGAAGGTTGTGTGGCTTTAAATCATTGTTACTTTATTCTTACTTTATCAATTCAATATCAACTACACAAACCACTTTTTATTAATTTGTGTGACACTTCCTCTTGTCACATTGTTAGGGGGACATAGAGAGTAATTTTTAGTAAAAAAAAGGCTAAAAACTGAAACCGACCCAAAACCAACCGAACATATCAAACAGTGGTTTCAAGTTTTGAAAGGTAAAATTGAACCGATTTTTTTTACTTTGGTTCCGTATTTGATTTTTGGTTAAAACCGAACTGTATAAACCGAGCCTACCCCTAAACAAGGATCCCCTAAAATGGAAGGAAATCCTCCTATAAATAGGGAAAGGTGAAAGGGGTGCATAAGCTACCTTAATGGGCCGAAAGGGCCGAAACGTGTTGGGCTTCCAAAATTGGCATCACTGATCGAGTTTCGTACAGGGTTAATGTGTTGGGCTTCCGAAATTATAGTGGGCCGGAGTCCAATACCCAATAGGGTGTGATGGAGTATATGGCCCGGGAACCCCCGGCCCATGGACTCCTACTTCTCCTACACAAGTCCATTGAGCCCAGAGAACAACTCAGGCCCAAATGCAACGGCCCGAGCCTCAAAGTAACCCAGAACACACACTGGGGTGCCTTCGGCCTCCTTGGCCGAAGGCTCCAAAACTCACAGGATAGCCTTCTCTAGCATAAGAAGCTACTGGGAGAAAACGGCGAAAAACATGAGCCTTCGGTATTATCGAGCCCTCGGCATCAGAAAGGCCTTCGGCTGAACAAAGCCTTCGGTCACACAAGGCCTTCGGCTACACAGGGGTCCTCGGTTACACGGAGCCCTCGGTGTAACCAGAAGCCTTCGGCCAAGCATGCTCAATCATCGAAGATTCCTTTTGGAGACAGCCAACCACCGCATTTAATGCCACGTCACATCCGCCAACCGCATTCAATGCGGTGAACGTACCACTGCCGGTGCCAACCGGCTGATGTGACCCTTCGGCCGTTGGATTACTGACACGTGTCCCCTCATCGCATTTATTGCTGCTATAAATAGCAGCCCATTTCTCCTTGTAAAACACGATCTACATCTCACCTCCACATCTCGAGTTCATTTAATAAAATCGACTCTCTCTCCTCCTATTTGCTCGGACTTCTCTCTAAGTTATTCCCGCGATAACCCCTCGGATAAGATACCCCCCGGGTAGACTATCCATCATTTGGTGCTCTCGTTGAGAGGTCTGAACTATCAAGTAAGAAACCCTCCCCCTCTACCAAACACAAACCCTCACCAAAAATGGGAAGGACCACCCGAGCCCAATCCAAAACCCTTGAGGAGAACTACGTAGCCCCCGGCGAAACCAACGGGGCTGAGGCCTCCAACAGGCTCTTAGTACCCGAGGGTGGTGTCATCCTCGAATTAGAGCAAGCCACCGCTGACCTACGTCAGCAGCTGCAGAAGAACACCCCCGATGCCCGTATTGGCCTTGATAATCGAAGGAGGGATCGGAGTGAGAACCAAGTTCCTCCTCCGGCCCCGGCCATCGATCTTCAGGCTGCCTTTGCGGCCTTTGTTCAAAACATGGCTCTCAATTCTGGAGCCCTCGCCTCTCAGGCGCCCCTTCAGCCCCACGCTGGAGGGAATGTTGTTCAATTACCGCCGCTCCCTCCTCTGTTCAACAATCCTCCCCCGGGGATTGGGAACGCCGAAGGCATCATGGCACAGGACACCGCCTCCCAAGAGGCCCAATCCAGGGATAAACGTCCCTTGATAAAGGAGAAACCCCGGACCTCTGCACTCGAGAGGCTTGGGGGAGCTCCCGGACGCCGAGGGGTCCAAGACCGCCTCGGCAAACAAGAGTTCAGCAGGCCACAGGAGAGTGGTGCCTCCGCTTCGGGTGCCGAGGGCGTGCCTCCCCCCCGGAGCAAAGGCAAAGCCCTCCTCCACGCCGATGACGCCAGGCACCAAATCAATCAGGCGCAATCCTTCCGGGCCAACTCCCAAGGGGTTGCCCCGAAGGATCCCAAGGACGAAATTATCGAGGCCCTCCTCCGCCAACTTGAGGAGAATCGTCAGGCACCACCGACGGCTTCCACAGCTAGGCCAGATCCGGAGTACGCTGACCTCCGGGCACAGGTGGAGGAAATGAAACGTAAACTGGCCGAAGGCTCCGGCGAGCCCCTCATTCAGCTCCGCACTAGGACGCCTTTCACCCCAAGGGTGTTGGCGGCCAAAATCCCCCACAAATATCGGGGGCAACCTATCAAACCGTATGAGGGGAAGACGGATCCCCAGGAGCACTATAGCCGTTATCAAAACAGCATGATGATGATGGGGGCATCGGATGAATACTTATGCCGTTGGTTCCTTTCCACTTTGGAGGGACCAGCGTATGAGTGGTTCAACCGGTTGCCCGAAGGCAGCATTGATTCTTGGCAAGAACTTGCCCACCGCTTCCTTACGCAGTTTGCCGGGAGGCACCGCTCAAAGAAACACTTCTCCCACCTTCTGAATGTGAGACAACAGAAGGAGGAAACCCTTCGGAGTTTCCTGGAACGCTGGAGGCAGGCCTCCCTCGAGGTCGAAGGCGCTGATGACAGGACACTAATGGCCCTCTTCCACACCGTCCTCCGCAACGGTAACTTCTCCCGGAGCCTCATTACTGATCCCCCCCGCGATTATACAAAGGCCCTTCAGCGGGGGGACCGATATGCTGAAGCGGAGGAAATCGAGAAGGACCGCCGCAACACGGATCCTTCCCAGAAGAATGAAGGCAGGAATCGGCCCGGAGGGCCTCCCCCTTCGGCCAACCGAGAGGCACAGTACAACGATCGCTCCCGAGGTGGCCAAGCCAGACCCGGGGGCGGTTACAAGAACAATCCAAAGGCATGGGCGCAACCCGTCCTCCTTGAGCACCCACGCACTCCCTTGACGCATCCCGTCAGCGTCATTCTCGATCATGCAGAAGAGCGAGGGCTCGTGGAGCGAGACTCCCGGACACCCCTCGAGATCTATGCCATCGGCCCTGATGAGCCCTATTGCCGCTTTCACCGCCACCATGGGCACAAAACCGACGACTGTCATCAGCTGAAGAACGCGATTGAGAGGCTAATACAGGCGGGCCACTTATCTCAGTTTATCAGGGGGCCTCCTCCCCAGGGCCCCCCTCATCATCAAGGGCCTCCGCCGAAGGCTAACAAATGGGTGAACCCCAACACCATCCCCTTGGGAAACCCACAGGGGAAGAAGCGAGAAATTGGGGGCCTCGACGACGAGGGAGAGGGCTCCCATCAACAATACAAGCGCCATATTCATATGATCAGCGGCGGCAACACCGGAGGCGATTCAACGAGCCAAAGGAAGAAGTGGGCACAGTCCCTCTACATTGGGGAGGTCAATCACATGCCCCCTACTAAAAGGCCGAGGGCGGATCCCATCTTCTTCACAGATGCGGACCTCCCCTCGGGCTCCCTGCCGCATAGGGATGCCCTCGTCATCCGCACTGAGATCAATAACGCCATCATCCACCGGACTTACGTTGACACAGGGAGTTCTGTCAACGTCATGTATCTCAGCACTTTTCAAGAGTTGGGACTCGATAGGGGGTCCCTTCGGCACATCAACACCCCCCTCTCCGGATTTACGGGGGACAGCATAGACGCCGAGGGCACCATCACCCTCATGGTTGAATTCGGCGACGGATCCCATAGAGCCAAGCTCGAAGTGGAATTCGTCGTCGTCAACCTCGACTGCGCACACAACATCATCCTCGGCCGGCCCGCCCTCGAGGATTTGGAGGCCGTCATCTCCATGAGGCACCTCTGCCTCAAGTTCCCCACACCCACCGGCATCGGCTATTCGAGGGGGAACCAGAAACTCTCCAGGGCCTGCTACCTTCAGCTCACCAAGAAGGTTAGTAAAACAGAGTTACGTATAGACACCATCACCACCAAGGCCTTGGAGGAGGAAGAAAGTAGGCCGAGGGCTGAGCCTGCCGAGGAGACTGAAGACCTGATACTCGATCCGGCCAAGCCGGAGAGAATCCTGAAGATCGGAGCCAAGCTCCCCGAAGACCTGAAGGCTGGCATCACCGAAGCCCTCCGCGCCTACTCCGTTGTTTTTGCATGGGGGCCGGAGGACATGCCAGGAATTGACCGAAGGGTTATCACCCACCGCCTTGCGGTGGACCCTTCAGCCAAACCAGTACAGCAACGAAGGAGGCCCCTCTCGGCCGAGAGAAGGGAGTTCGTGAAGAAGGAAGTATCCATGCTCCTCTCCATCAAACACATCAAGGAGGTGAAATACCCTTCTTGGTTGGCAAACGTAGTCCTCGCACAAAAGCCTCCTACCTTCCGCATGTGCGTGGACTATACGGATCTAAATAAGGCATGTCCCATGGACCCCTTCCCTCTGCCCAACATTGATCAACTAGTGGATGAGACCGCGGGATGCGAGATCATGTCATTCCTCGA